GTATCTATATATAAATATTGCATCGATACTGGATGACTAAAAGTACGTATCTATTTATTGGCATCCTTTATAATATTTTGTATAGATTTTTTTCAGATTGTATCTTATTTAAAAATGTAAATTTTTAATTTTTAAATAATTTTTATATTATTTTGGAATGGTAAAAGATAATAAAAATTTACAATTACAATTATAATACAAAACAATAGAGTTTTTTTTTGAACAGCAAAAGTTTCATTACTATCCTGAGTACAAGGGGTACCCAAACCCTTTTACATGAACATCAACCAAACCTCTCAGTTTGCAGAAATAAGCACTATTAGTGTTACTACCATCTTTCAAACCCCTCCTACTTCACACTAGTAAGGCATGAGGCAGGGTTAATTAACCAGTCTGATAGATTGAAATAACACTTGCCTTTCCTAACTTTAATCCATGTAAATGATCGTAATTGAATAAGTTCAAAAAGTTTGATCAAGTTTACCTCTACATTGTCAAAGATCTTTTTGTTTCGTGCCATCCACACTAACCATATAACTGCGCTCCAAATACAGTCCCACCCTTCTCTTTTATGAGACTTTTTGGTCCAAACACCAAAGAGCTGAAACGTCTTCTTGCACTCATTTTGAAGTTCTACCTTGATGCCCCACCAGTTTGCGCAAGCTCTCCATAGCCATTTGACAATTTTGCATTTCAAGAATAAGTGGCTGGAATCTTCCTCTTCTTGTTCACACAGAACACATTTCCTTTCCTCCTCCTCCTTTATGACCCCACGTTTCAACAAATTTAGCTTGGTTGGGATTCTATCGAGTAATACCTTCCAGTTGAAAGCCGCCACTTTAGATGGAATGCTAGGGTTCCATATTCTTTTATGCAATTCTGCTTCCTCCTCTTCCCTCCTCTGTTTTGTTAATAATGCGTAGGCTGTTGCTGTTGAGTACTCTCCGTCAGGGCTGTGTATCCACTTCCAATTGTCTGCGCTCCCTGGGGATATTCGCAATTTCTCGATCATATTTTGAAGTTCTTTTGCAGTCTCTTCTTCCCACTGATGCAAGGTTCTTCTCCATGTCAAGTTCCATCTCCATGTCCCATTGAGAGCCCTTCCTATTTGAAAGCATTCTTTGTCTTTGCCTGTAGACAAGATGTACAATCTAGGAAATTTATTAGCCAAGCAGATCTCCCCACACCACTCATCCCACCAGAAGCTCACTCTTTTCCCCTCACCGACCTTAATCCTAAAGCCCTCCGTAAGCCATCCTGCATTCCCCCCATCTCCAGCATTTAAATTTTGGATGTCTCTCCACCATATTGAACCTCCACCACTCCTATCCCTTACCCAATCCAGCCAATGCCCTCCATTCTCTCCGTACTTACTAGATATCACTTTGCTCCATAACCCATCTTCCCCTTTTGCTAACCTCCCCCACCATTTACCCAACAACGCTATATTGAATTTCCTCAAGTCCTTCACTCCTAGACCACCATTCTCCTTACTCCTGCATACCCTCTCCCAATTGACCCAACTGATTTTTTTCCTCTCCCCCATCCCTCCCCATAAAAAATTCCTGCGTATTTTATCTAAAGAGAAGAGAATACCTTTAGGGATTTTGTAGGCTGACATCAGGTACACTGGAAGGCTAGACAGCATAGAATTTAAGAGAGTGATACGACCCCCCAAAGATAAGTTTTGCCCTTTCCAGCTAGCAAGTTTCTTTTTAAAGGAATTCACCAGTGGTTGCCACATTGCTATCCTTCTGTGATTCCCTCCAACTAGAGTACCCAAATACTTAAAAGGAAGATCTCCCGCCTTGCAACACAGTCTATAAGCCATCCTCTCTTTCCAACCCTCCTCAGTCCCGACCCCCATTATCTGACTCTTGCCAAAGTTGATTTTCAGTCCCGACGCCAATTCGAAGGTCCTCATGATACTTTTTATTGCTTGAATGTTTTCCTCCGAAGCCTCTCCAAAAAACAGAGTGTCATCTGCGAATTGGAGGTGAGATACTAACAGGTTCCCGTTTCCAATCCTTACTCCTCTGTACAAGTTTTTCTCAGTGGCAGACTGCATTAAACCATTAAGCCCTTCTGCTACTAATAGAAATAGGAAGGGGGAGAACGGGTCACCTTGTCTTATTCCTTTGCTCACCGGGAATTGCTATGTTGGGCTTCCGTTCACTAGGATCGAAATCATACTTGATTGTAGGCACTCCTTTATCCAATTTCTCCAAGTGACTGTAAAACCCGTCCTCATTAGCATATAATCAATAAAATCCCAGCTAACTTTGTCGTATGCTTTTTCGAAATCAACTTTGAAAAGAAAACTCTTCTTCCTCTTCCTTTTTGCCTCATCAATCACCTCGTTTGCAATCACCACTCCGTCCATCATCTGTCTACCTTCTATGAATGCCATCTGCTGCTCCCCGATGATCTTGTCAAGAACTTTCCTGAGGCGATTTGCTAGTAGCTTAGCTAGGATCTTATACATGACTCCAATGAGTGATATAGGTCTGTAGTCTTCAATTCTATAGGGATTTTCAACCTTAGGAATCAGGGCGATGAAGGAGGAGTTGGAGCCTCTGACCAGCTTGCCATGCTCGTGGAATTCCTGCACGAAGCCAATGACATCCTGTTTTATTTCCTCCCACATTGCCTTTATAAACCTGAAATTAAAGCCATCCAGCCCAGGGGACTTAAATGAGTCACAATCCCACACTGCGTTTTTAATATCCTCTTCTGAGAAAGTGGCCGTCAAAAAATCATTGTCTGCTTCGTCTAACTGTTTGAAGCTGACACCGTCTAACTTTGGTCGCTGCCACTCTTCTTCCGAGAATAACCCCTTGAAATAATTCATCACACCTTCCTTGATCTCATTTACACCTCTACATTGATCTCCCCTTATCTGAATGCTGTTGATTTCGTTTCTTCTCCATCTGCCCTTTACACTTCTATGAAAAAACTTTGAGTTTGCATCCCCCACCTTCAACCACATCTTTCTGGATTTTTGCTGCCACATACTCTCTTGAATCTTCATGTTCTTCCAAAGATCCAGGAATCCATTCCTTCTATTCTCAATGTCTACTTCTGAGAGTTGGCTATGCTCTTCTTTTTCATCCATTTCAGCTATGATCCTTTCTGCTTCAATTATTCTTCTGTCAACTTCATCTGTGTGATTAGCACTCCATTGCTTCAGGGCTTTTTTTGTTTCTCTCAGCTTTTCCTTAAGTCTGAACCCCTTCCACCCCTTCACCTCTACAGATTTCCACACTTTGCTAATTACTTCCTTGCAATCAGGATGTTCCAACCAAGCATCAAAAAACTTAAAAGGTTTTGGACCCCAATCTATCTTTTCATTTTTCAAAAGTAATGGACAATGATCTGAAACTGTTCTTCCCAGTCCCCATTGTTTTAAGTCATTCCACTTTTGCAGGCATTCTTCCGAAACCAAAAACCTATCTATCCTGCTCCTATGCTGACCATTTGCACTGTGCCAGGTATATTTTCTACCCGCCAATGGTAAATCAACCAGCCCTGTGACATGGATAAAGCTATCAAACTCCCTCATCTCCCTGGTTATCCCACTGCATCCTGCTCTATCCCCAACTGTTCTTGCTGCATTGAAATCCCCCCCCAAAACCCAATTGCCTCTTTTAGAGGTGATCAGCTTGCCCAGCTCCTCCCATAGTACTCTTTTTCCTTGAAGATGGCAAGGAGAGTATATATTTAGAATGTGAATAGGCGTCTGATCCTCCCCCCACAACCCAAACACCCCCGTGAAATGTTTCCCCTCAATCACTTCTGTCTTTTTAAACACAGTTAGATTCCAAATACACAGCAAGCCTCCAGACAAGCCTTCTGATGGTTTATAAATCCAGTCAAAATCATCGGACCCCCATAACCTTCTGCAGGTTCTTCTATCTACCACCTCCATTTTCGACTCTTGAATAGCTAAGAAATCTACTCCCTCTTTTTTTACTAATTCTCTTACTTTCCTTTTTTTTTCCATCCCTCCTAGCCCTCTAATATTAAAAGATAGCAAGATCATTAAAATCTCTGCTTACCTTCTTAGCGTCTACTGCCACTCTCTTCACCATATCTTCTTTGCCTTGTCTATCTCTGCCCTCCATTTCTTCTATTTTCTGCAGGATCTCCTCTTCGTTTTCTGCTGTGGCGCCTAGTCTTTTAGCTAAATCCCATATATCTTTTGCCAACTGATTTTGCAACTGCTTCCTCAAAGCTCGGTTGCAATTTTCGATCCCACTGTCACCAACCGATTCACCCGCAACCTCTCCATCTGGGCTCACCATGAATTTCGGCACCCCCTGTCCCTTCTTTACTTTCATCTTTTGCCTTTCACGCCGTTTCCCACTCTGGATTCCTTCCCCTGTTTTTCTGGCCTTGAGGTAAACCAAACTGCACAGGCGAACCTTCTTCTTTCTTTGTATGACACCCTCCTTACTTCTTTGCATGCAGATCTACACCTGTTCCCTTGCACTTGCGCGATCCTGCCCGCTGGGATCTCCTTTATCTTCTTGCTGCTGTTCATCTTCGCTGCAAGAAAGGGCAGCTTTCCTTTCTCTCAAATTCTCCGATTCAATGTCTGATTTTGACTTTGCATACCCTTCATTAATACCCAACCCCACACTTGAAGAATCCACATAGCATGGGCTGTCCTTTTGTGTGTTGGGCTTCCCATAAAGGCCCGACTTAGGTCCCTTTTGAAAGCCCATCCTCTTTCTTCCAGCTTTGGCCGGCTGCCCGACCTTATCTCTATTTCCCGCCTGCTGTGTCCCCTTTTCTTCGCTTAAACTGATTTTCCCATTGTTTGAAATTTGAATCTGCTCCAGGCTGTCCGCCACCTTCTCAACAGACCCCTCCTGCTGCATACCGTTTCTAAGATCCGAATCGTACGACTCCCTTTTACTGCATGCCACGTCATCGTCATCTTCCTCATTCTCGGCTGCACCGTCCATCCCCTGTTCTTCCTCCCCTGCACCTTTACTAGCACTGTCCTCCTTCTCACTATCCATCGACCATGTTTCTTGTTCCTCTGAGTCGCTGCTAAAGTGGGGGATGAAGTCCTGTTTCAAAGAGAAGAAACTATTGGTGAATTCCTCCTCTGTGAACTTGAGCTTATAAACGGACCCGTCGATTTTGATTTGTCTCGTCACTGAAATGGAGTTCATAACTGGAGTCAAAATTAAAAATCTAGCTATGTCAAACCTCCTCCTTTGACTTGTGCTATCATCAAGACAAATGAACTTGCCCCATGAGCTCCCCATCGAAGCAAAGAATTTAGGCCCCCAGACATTTAACGGTACGCCTTGACATTTGATCCAAACGAATCTTTCTTCCGCTACCAGATCTGGGGTCCAAGGGCACACCTTCTCGAACCATTGGCCCAGCCACTCCGATGCTGATTCTACCAGGTCTTTCAACTCATCCTTATCCTCACAGTCCATTAGGACCAGTCTACCCCCCATCGCTCGAATTCTACAGGAGAAATACCCTTCCATGTAGAATTTTTCCTGCAGGTTCCTAACCATTTCAACCGAATGAGTTGTGCCCACATAACAACCCTCCAGCCATGCAGTATCCTCTTGACTCGTGTTGTATTCAAACCCAGCCCATGTATCACTCCTTCCTTTCTCTTGCCATACTTGCCTGTTCGAGTGTTGCCCTTTCAGGACTTCTGCATAGCTCCTGGTTTGTGCGTGAGGCTCCGAAATGGGTCTGGATTTTATTTCCTTCCCTACATGCTGATTGTCTTCGTATCTTGGAGCGTTAACCCACAATTTGCAATCCCCAATCCAGATATTATCTAATTTTCTTTCCAGCTCTTTTCTGTTCTTCACATCAAGAAATCTGACAAAGCCAAACCTGCCACCATTTCTGCTTCTTCTCTTTGGACTGTAAATGGCATAAACCCTCCCGTATTTCAGAAATGTTCTCCACATGTCTTCATATGTCCATTCTTCTGGGAAGTTTGTGAAAAAATAGGGTGTCGCTTGTTTGTACACTCCCCAGTCGTAAGAGTCTCCTATCTTCCTTTCAGACGTCTGATTCTGCTCATACTGCATCTCCCTTAGCTGGTCTGGTAACCTCCTTCTCTGACAATTTCTCTGCTGAGATCTACCATTCTCTTTACTCTGTGCCGTCTTCCTAGCCCGTGCCCGTCGGTCGCCTTCTCTCGTTCTCGCTCTACCTCTCTCTCTCATCTCTTTTGTACAAAACAATAGAGTAGTAAGACATAAAGCTAATAACTCAATGTTGAGTAGGTTTTTTTTCTCATTTTCTCTTGATTTATAAATGTTATTTAAATTAAGAGTTATCATGTTGAATTGTTCTATGGTTTGTGATTTTGATAGCGGAGTTCAATTTTGTAGAATTTAATTAATGATTTCCTACAATAACTATATCAAAGAATGCATAGAGGGCATGCACTTCTATTGTCAGAGAATAATGAATGGAATAGCTTGGAAGTCACAGTAAGTCATGCTTTACATTCTTAACATTTTGTTCCATTTTATTTATGTTTTTATTCAATATATCGTTATGAAAATAATTAGTATACTATTCAATTCAATACACCTTTCAATATTTGTTTGGTTTAATTATTAACACATAATATAAGTACAACAAATTGAACTAGTTTTTACATATTGTATGCATGACTATATATTTAAGTTTGTTTGCCTTTAATTCTAGAATAAAAAATAAGGAAATTTTTAATAAAT